GGGACAGAGAGCTCTAGGGTTCCCCTTGCCGGAGCCGTAAACCATCTTCGTTGTCTCCCTGTTTTCCAGAGTCCCCTTCGCACCCCCGCTCCCCAACTCCCAGGAGTCGGCTCCGCCCCCCTACTCCCGGTCCCGCCTTCCCCGCCCCCGTGCCTCCTCGGCCCACCCAAGTCGCCGCCGCAGGCACTGGCTGCAGACGGCTCCGCTCCCCCCGCCCGCCCGGGGAGCCCAGTCGAGCGAGCCTTAGGGGTGGGGGCTGAGGGGCGGGACACATTCTTGCCTCCTCCTCTCAGCGCATCCGGAAAGCGGGCAGTGGCGCCCTGGGGGGCACTACTGGAGAGTGGGGGTCCCCGTAGGTGGGATGAGAAAGAAGAATCCAGAAAGTATGGGGGAAAGAAAGGAGAGAAAGTGACTGGGTCAATAAAAATTAGGTGTGTACGGGGAGGAGGAGGAGCCGGGACACCTTAAGTTCCTGGGTATTGCAGCCGGCTTCCCAAGAGTTAACCCCTCCAGACCCCCGGGAACCCCCTGGTGACGTCAAGGGCGGGGATGCCAGGGAGATAACGGTGAGAGGGAGAGGTCTCTGGACCCCGCCCCCTAGGGAAAACCACCCTTATTCCGACCCTTACAACTCCCCCGGGAAACCGCCCCGCCTTCTCCCTCTACTGGAACGTAAAGACCTATCCCAGAAGACCCCAGCTCTCCAGACCCCTAGAACCCTCAGTCCTCAGGCTCTACCAGGTCCCTTTTCCCTAATCCTGTCCCCAAAGCTAGCTGCCCAGGGCTGATTGTTTCGGGGTCATGGGGCCTGAAAGAGGATTCAGAGCGGGGAGCAAGGGCAGGCAGGGTGGTCTGAGCCAGAGGAGGGGCCTCAGTCCCCAGCTCCCGTTTGGGCGGGGGACCAACGGGGATACACAGGCTGACAGTGGCCAGTGGTCCCGCCCAGCCCCGATAGGGGTCTCCCTGCGGCTGGCTCCCGCTGCCCCGGTGGTCCTGAGTTCAGAGGGTCAAGACAAGGTCTCCTTGGCTCCTCCTGAGCGCCTTGCCAACAGCCCTTGGGACTCAGGAGTCCAAAATTGCCTGGGGTCATTCTAGGGCCTTCACTAGACGTTGGACAGCCTCTCCAAGCTGCCCCTTCCTAGTCCAGAAGACACTCCTTTCCCCCAAACACAAGCATCCACTGGCACATCTGTCACAAGACAGGTCAAGGGTGCAAGTCCAGCTAGCCTCTAATGGTTCTGTTGCCTCCCACACACCCGTCCCCACCCCACCTGGAGCTCCCTCCTTTTCAGTCCCCTCCTTTCAGAAACACTGACGTCTTCCTGCCCCACGCGCAGACACACACCTGGAGTTCCCTCTCTACCACGCAGACCTCCAGCTAGCCATCCCTCCAGCCTCTTCAGCTCTCAACCTCATGAAAGTGAGATGTTTCTAATACATGGGAGAGGCGGAGACAAAGGCCCACGGTTGCCTGAGACAGAGATACACAGACTGACAGAAGAAGAAAGGGAAGAAAAGGAAGATACAGAGAAAGATACAAGTGAAAAATCTGGAGTTTCTAATGTCTCACCACAGGCTATCCCACCCCCATTTTGCCTCTGTGTCCCAGGGTCTGGGACGAGTCCCTCGGAAGCTGAGCATCCCCTGAGGCCCCCTCCCCCACTGCTCCCAGGTGGTCCCCCGCCTGCCCCCCTTCTCACCTCTGTCTGGGAGCTGGGCTCAGGATGCGCGGTCCAGGGCTGGAGTCTGGGCTGGGGGGTGTGCGGTGGGGAGGGGGGGCGGAGAGGGCCACGGCAGCGCAGCCTCAATGCCACCCCCACCCCCCCAACCTGGCCCCCAGCCCTCCCGCCGGCCCAGCCCGCCGGGCCGCAAGCCCGGACCACCCGCGAGAAGCGCAAACTTTTTTTTCCCTTTGCAAAAACTTTTTCTCGCTCCAGCCGCTGGCGCGCCGCCGCTCTTCCCGCTCGCCCCTCACCTCCCTCCTATTTCCCTCCCTCTAGCCGTTCTGGAGGATGAGGCTGGGTAGCTGGAAGCAAGAGAGGGGGTGCCGGGCTTATTGCACCCCCAGGACCCCCAGGATCCTCCCCCTCCCTTGAGGGACCCTATACTGCCCACGCCCCCCCACCCCCCCAACACTCTGCTGTTGGTGGGCAGTAAACCCCGGCATGGATTTCTGGATCGGCTGGCCCCAAAGAGGTCCCGATCCAGAGACAGAAAACCAGATTCAGGAAAATATTGCGGGACAGGGGGAGAAGTTCAACTGAGAACGATAATAGTGGAGGTAAGGTAGTCGCCTTTGGTTGGTGCCAACTGAGCCTTCTGACATCCTGTGGCTTATTGGCAGGCCCTACCCTTTGGATGGAACTTGGAGCGGCTGGGCCAGAGTTGGAGTTTGGGGCAAATCATACTGAGAGGTTAGGGGATCTGGCAGAAGGTGAGGAGTCTATGGAGCATAAAAGCTAGGAGCAGCGGCTGAGGCTCTGGGTGCAGGGTGAGCCCTGGGACCGAAGCCCCTTCCGGGAGAACCCCAGCTCTGCGTCTGGAAGTTCCAGAGACTGCGGCCACCTCCGCACCTCGCCTCAGCGGGCTCTAGCCGCTCTTCAAGGCTTTCTGCTCCCTCTGCTGGCCGTTCTCACACATGACACCCGCTCGCAGTCGTGGCCGAAGAGCTGGGGGAGCCGAAGGAGGAGATCGGTCAGGCCCCCTCACTAAAGCCCAGTTAAAAGCCCAGGAGGTGGATTTGTGAACTCAAAGAAATGGAGAGGCGCACTGTCAGAGGTTGCTATGCCCAGCAGTACTGCCTCACAGGGAGGTGCCCTGCCGCTTTACATTTGCGTTGCCATCATGACCGGATATAGGGGAGGGGCACCATTCCAGTCTCCGATTTTTATGAGAAAGAGGAGAAAGCATGATAGAAAAGGAGCACCTTCCCCTCTTTTATTCAAGCCCACAGGCAGACCTCCCACATCCTAGCTCTGCTTCCAAGAACCACTCCCTGGGCCTGGAAGGTCAGTGGGTTAACTGTTCAGTCTGAGGGTCAAGGGGGAAAGAAAAGGTGAAATTAGAGGGAGGGAGGTCTGGGACTTTGACCCAGACTAGTTATACCCAGAGGGTCAGAGACCCAGCTCAGTCACACCAGAATAATGGTCACTGAAGAAAAGGCACCCGACACATGCTCCTGTCCCAGCCTCGAGCCCCTTCTTCCAGAGGATCTATTATTTATTTACTTATATTTATTTGGGACGGGGTCTCACTGTTTGCCCAGGCTGGAGTGCAGAAGCTATTCACAAGTGTGTTTATAGCCTTGAACTCCTGGGCTTAAGCAGTCTCCCCCACTTAGCCTCCCAACTAGCTGGGACCACTGGTGCCCAGCAAGAGGAGCTCTCTTAGAACACGTTACTTTCTTCTCCCCAACCAGTTCTATAGACCAATGACTCTCAAACTTTTTTTTTTTTTTTTTTTTTTTTTTGAGACAGAGTCTCCCTCCATCGCCCAGGCTGGAGTGCAGTGGCACGATCTCAGCTCACTGCAACTTACACCTCCCACGTTCAAGTGATTCTCCTGCCTTAGCCTCCTGAGTAGCTGGGACTACAGGTGCATATCACCAGGCCCGGCTCATTTTTTTTTTTTTTTTTTTTTGAGACAGAGTTTTCGCTCTTGTTACCCAGGCTGGAGTGCAATGGTGCGATCTCGGCTCATCGCAACCTCCGCCTCCTGGGTTCAGGCAATTCTCCTGCCTCAGCCTCCTGAGTAGCTGGGATTACAGGCATGCGCCACCATGCCCAGCTAATTTTTGTATTTTTAGTAGAGACAAGGTTTCACCATGTTGACCAGGATGGTCTCGATCTCTTGACCTCGTGATCCACCCGCCTCGGCCTCCCAAAGTGCTGGGATTACAGGCTTGAGCCACCACGCCTGGCCTTTTTTCTGTATTTTTAATAGAGATGGGGTTTCACTGTGTTAGCCAGGATGGTCTCAATCTCTTGACCTCGTGATCCACACGCCTTGGCCTCTCAAAGTACCGGAATAAACAGGCATGAGCCACCGTGCCGGACCAGTTTCCTCTATACTCTTAAAAGTCATTGGATTAGGCGTGGCAGCTCAGGCCTGTAATCCCAGCACTTTGGAAGGCCAGGGTGGGGGAATCAGCTGAGGGGTCCAAGACTAGCCTGGCCAACATGACGAAACCCCATCTCTACTAAAAATACAAAAAATAGCTAGGCGTGGTGGTACAGGCCTGCAGTCCCAGCTACTCGGGAGATTGAGGCAGAATTGCTTGAAATGGGGAGGCGGAGGTTGCAGAGAGCTGAGATTCATTGCTCTCCAAGCTTCTTCGGTGACAGAGAGACACTCTATCACCAAAAAAAAAAAAAAAAAAAAAATCATTGAGCTTTTATCTGTATGATTTACATCTATCAATTCACTACATTAGAAATTAAAACTGAAAAAGACTGTAACACAAGAATATACAAGCACACATTCCATTAACAATGAAGTCAGAAAGATGATGAAATCACGTCACATAGCCTCTGGAAAATTCCACTGTACAATTTTAAGATAATGAGAATTCAAAAGGCAAATAACATGTAAGTATTATTATAAAAATAACTTTGACTTTGTGGACACCCCTGAAAAGGGACTGCCCAGAAGCCTCCAGACCACACTTGAAGAACTATTGCTCTGGACCATCACCCTAACCCTTCTTTATGACCTACATTTGTTGGTTTCTCTCTTGTTGTCCAGGCTGGAGTGCAATGGCGTGATCTCGGCTCACTGCAACTTCTGCCTCCCGGGTTCAAGCAATTCTCCTGCCTCAGCCTCCCGAGTAGCTGGGATTATAGGCACCTGCCACCACACCCGGCTAATTTTTGTATTTTTTTAGTAGAGACAGGGTTTCACCATGTTGATCAGGCTGGTCTTGAACTCCTGACCTCAAGTAATCCACCCACTTTGGCCTCCCAAAGTGCTGGGATTACAGGCGTGAGCCACCGCACCCGGCTCTTTTTCCTTTTCATGAGAAAAGAATAAATGCTTGTCTCCCACTGGGTCCTGTCTTCTGGGAGAAACCAGGGACCTTCTTAGGTTTAGCACCTCTCTTTCCTGACTCCTGTTTCTGGGGGGCCCCTAAGCATCTTCCCTCAGTGCCTTGTTCATCTCCTTCTTGACCCTCCCTTAAGGCATCTCAACAGCTCTTACCCTGGGTCAGCCTGCTTACCCTCCTCCAAGCTTGCTGGACCATCTATCTGTTTCCTCCTCCTCTCACTTGAGGACTTTCTCGTCTTGGGAGAGGCTAAGTGATTTTTCTCTGCCTTCCCTCCTTCCCTCCCTCGTCCTGACATCTTCTCACGGGACTTAGGGGAGGAAATCGCGCTTTCTGGGGAGATCCCCTTAGAAGAAACGCTTTACCCATCTCCCAACACATCAACCAACCTGGATCGGGCCAGAGTCTCAGACAAGAAAGTGCTCATTTGTGTCCCATTGGGGTCAAGTGAGTCATATTGCCAGATGGCTGTTGGGTTGGGTGTGGATCAGGAATCTGACGCCTCCAGCCACAGATGCCCTGTGCCTGGGAACCTCCAACTTGGTCTCTTCATTCCAAAGCCCCAAGTCCTCTTGCTAGCTGCAGCCGCAGGCCTCCACCACCAAATCTGGCACATCCGTCTTGACAACATTGCCATTACGATCCAGGTAGAGGAGAGAGAGGGGCCTTCGGGCCGTGGGGACACAGCAGGAGGTACTGGCAGGCCAACGGTTGTTGGCTTTGAGGAGGCTGAAGACAGCAGAATGGAAAGAGGCAGCAATGCCTGGGCTGCCAGCCAGGTGAAGAGGGCACTCCCCACTGCAGTAATTCAGCTGGTACCCCTCGGGCTGCAGTATCCAGTCCCGCCATCCCAGTTCCCGAAAGTCTATGTAATGGTCTCGCCTGCAACATAAGGGGGTCGCGGGCCCACAGGTGGGGGTCCTCCTCCTGGCCCGGCCTGCTCCAGGCTCATTGGCTCGGATCTTAAGCTCTAGGAAGGGCTGCTGGTGTCCTGCTGTGTCCAAGAGCTGACTTGGTTGTCCAATAACTGTGCTGTTGCCTTCTAGGGGTCCGCAGTCTAGTTGCAGTTTCAGGACACCAGATTTCTCACCCCTCAGGCCGCTAGAGGGCAGAGTTAAGGCATGCCAGCCCAGGTGGGTAATGTGGTGCTCAGCCAGCAGGGTGCGGGACCCTTGGCGCCTCCTACTGGGTCCCCATCGGAAGATCCTCAAGTAAGGAGTGCTGGGAGGGGTGGGGAGCACGTGCAGCCACAGGCGGGCCTGGTACAGGTGGTGAGACGGAGGAGTGGACAGGTGAAAGGTGAGCAGGGAGCTACAGGCTGAAGTGGAGTCTGCCGGAAAGACAGAGAAGGGAAAGAAAAATGTGAGCAGAGATGAAGCTCTCCTCTGAGACTCCCCTGATCCTGCCCACTGCTCTCCCTTGAACCCGAACTCACCGTTAGAATAAGTAGAGACTGCTTTGTGTCCTGTGCCACCAGTCCCTGCCCCAGCTCCTCCTTCTCCTGCCACACCCCACTCCCTCTGCAGCTCCTGCCAGGCTCCCCTTCTGCCTCCCTTTCCCTGTCTGCTGTCTGCCTGTCGCTCTCTCCCTCACCCACCTGTGACGGTAGCAAAGCTGATGACCTCCTCCCCATTCCCTGGAGCCACACTCCCTGGCTGTAGTCTCCGGAGGGCTCTGGTCAGCGCTGCCTGGGGTGGAGGATGAGTTATTCGGGGACGACTGGTCAGGTGCAACCCCTCCAGGATTTGCTGCTTGGCTAGCTCCAGCACCAGAGCTCGTTCTGCTTGGGGTGCCAGTGTGGGGCCCCCACAGGAGGGACACACAGACCTTGTCCCCTGTGCCTGTACCAGTGCCCACAGCAGCACCAACCAGAGCTGGACATCAGGGAGCCCCATACTCCTGGTGAATGGCCCTGGTTTGGTAGCCTCGGATGGCAGCTCCTTCATCTGTTGAGTCTGATTGCTGGGGGCCAACGAGGGCACAGTGACAGCAGACGCCAGTGCCACACCTACCCTTGGCCAAGGGTAGAGCCACCTGTCTTCTATTGTCTGGGACTCAGGAAGGCTGAAAGTAGATCATCGGATGGATAGCTGTGCTTGACCCTCACAGCTTATGTCTGGCTACTGACCCGGGGCCTCTTTAGAGCCAGCTGCCTGGGGCTTCCAAACCTAGTGGTCAGCCAGCCCACCTACCCTCTGAGCCCTAGGATTGGCCAGCTGTGCTGCCCATCAGGCCCCTGCAGGGGGTGGAGGTCCTCCTCCCCACCAGCTCAGGTTTCACCATCTGGCCATGGTGACTGGGCCTGAAGTGGGGGTAAGGGGGTGGGGGGGTGCGATGTGGACACGCATGATGCAAGAAAGAGGATGATTTCACAGGCTCAGTCCCCAAGGTCTGGGACTTGGGGAGGGAATGCCTTATGAGCCAGGTGGGGAAGGGCAATTTTCCCTCATACCTCTAGTCTTTCTAGCTTCACCACTGCTATAGCAGTTTCCATGAGGCAGCTGTGAGTTCCAGTGGGTATTTCTCTGGGGCTCTTAGGCCAGAAGGAAAGTTCTGGTCTCTTTATTTCTAGCACTGTGGCTGGGATGGGGTGAGGGGTTGGGCAGGTAAGAGAATGGAGTCCTCTTGCTCAGGCCCAGGTGGCAGTGCCACGAGGCACCGAAATCACCCCTGACCCTGCCTGTGCTGGCTGCTCAGAGTCCAGTGGCCTGGAACATGAGGTAGAGGAGGGCCAGAGTGGGGGCTGGGGCGGGAAATGTGTTCCCCTGGTGTCTGGGGAAGCCCAGAGAGGTGGTGGTGTTGGTGATGCAATCTTACACAGGGCAGAGTCCATCAGTACTGACAGGGGGCATGGCACTTGGGAGGGCCTGTACCCAGCTGCCACTTCTCTTTCAAGGGACTGTGAGAGTTGACTAAATTTGGGGCATCCTAGAAGTAGCTCCAGGACTTTTTAAATTTTTTTTTTTTTTTTTTTTTTTTTTTTTTTGAGACAGAGTTTCACTCTTGTTACCCAGGCTGGAGTGCAATGGCGATCTTGGCTCACCGCAACTTCCGCCTCCTGGGTTCAGGCAATTCTCCTGCCTCAGCCTCCTGAGTAGCTGGGATTACAGGCACGTGCCACTAAATTTTTTTAAATTTAAATTTTTAAATTTTATTTTATTTTATTGAGATAAGGTCTCAATCCATTGTCCAGGCTGGAGCGCAGTGGCACAATCATAGCTCTCTACAGCCTTGAAATCCTGGGCTCAAGCAAGCCTTCTGCCTCAGCTTCCTTAATAGCTGGGGCCCCAGAGAAATACCCACTGGAACTCAGAGCTTCCTCATAGACACTGCTGAAGCAGTAGTGCACAGCACCACGCCTGGCTAATTTTTAAATTGTTCATAGAGACAGGCTCTGGCTATGTTGCCCAGGCTGGTCTTGAACTCCTGGGCTCAAGCAATCCACTTGCCTCAGCCTCCTAAAGGGCTGAGGTTACAGGCATGAGCCACCACGCCAGCCTTCAGGCATGTTAATGGGAGTGGGAAATGCCAACTTTAAGAGCTTTTGACAACAAAGCAAGACGAGTACAGCTCTCTTGGTTCCCAGTCTCAGCCTTCCTGACTATGTTTCCTTGCTGGCTTTATTGATTTATTTACTTATTTATTTATTTGAGATGGAGTTTCGCTCTTGTTACCCAGGCTGGAGTGCAATGGCGCGATCTCGGCTCACCGCAACCTCCATCTCCTGGGTTCAGGCAATTCTCCTGCCTCAGCCTCCTGAGTAGCTGGGATTACAGGCACGTGCCACCATGCCCAGCTAATTTTTTGTATTTTTTTTTTTTTTGAGACGGAGTTTCGCTCTCCTTACCCAGGCTGGAGTGCAATGGCACGATCTCGGCTCACCGCAACCTCTGCCTCCTGGGCTCAGGCAATTCTCCTGCCTCAGCCTCCTAAGTAGCTGGGATTACAGGCACGCGCCACCATGCCCAGCTAGTTTTTTGTATTTTTAGTAGAGACGGGGTTTCACTATGTTGACCAAGATGGTCTCGATCTCTCAAACTCGTGATCCACCCGCCTCGGCCTCCCAAAGTGCTGGGATTACAGGCTTGAGCCACCGAGCCCGGCCTTAACTACTTTTTTTTTTTTTTTTGAGACGGAGTTTCGCTCTTGTTACCCAGGCTGGAGTGCAATGGCGCGATCTCGGCTCACCGCAACCTCCGCCTCCTGGGCTCAGGCAATTCTCCTGCCTCAGCCTCCTGAGTAGCTGGGATTACAGGCAGGCGCCACCATGCCCAGCTAATGTTTTGTATTTTTAGTAGAGACGAGGTTTCACCATGTTGACCAGGATGGTCTCGATCTCTTGACCTCGTGATCTACCCGCCTTGGCCTCCCAAAGTGCTGGGATTACAGGCTTGAGCCACCTCACCCGGCCCTAATTTTTTGTATTTTTAGTAGAGACGAGGTTTCACCATGTTGACCAGGATGGTCTCGATCTCTTGACCTCGTGATCCACCCACCTCGGCCTCCCAAAGTGCTGGGATTACAGGCTTGAGCCACCGCGCCCGGCGGCTTTATTTTTTATTGTATTTTTTATTGTATTTTTTTGACAGGGTCTCACTCTGTCATCCAGGCTGGAGTGTGGTGCCCTGATCACGACCTCCAAGGGTTAAGTGATTCTTCCACCTCAGCCTCCAGAGTAGCTAAGGCTACAGGTGCGTGCCACCATGCTAGGCTAATTTATTTTTAATTTTTTTGTAGAGTCAGGGTCTTGCTGTGTTGCCCAGGGTGGTCTCAAACTCCTGGGCACAAGCGATCCTCTCACCTCAGCCTCCCAAGGTGTTGGGATAATAGACGTCAGCCACTGCACTGGGCCCTCACTGGCCTTAAATGGGGTGGACCCAGACCCCCACCACCTTGAATTCATGAGGGTGGGCCTCATGCTAACTTTTCTCCTTATGCCCCAGTTCCTCCAAGAAGCCTGACGGGGAGAAAGCTGTGGGGGAATCGAGTGTGATTGGGAAATGTGTCCTTACTGCACTTTGTTCATTTCTCCTCTATTTAGATGACGGGGGCTGTCAAGAGAGACTATTAGAGCTGGCACCTGCGGGACAGGGGTCCTACTTGGAGAGCTGGGCCTCAGTACCAACAGTGTCCACCATGTGGCAGTGCCGGGCCTCTGGACAACAGCTGGCTTGCAGTTGGCTGGAGCTCCCCAGGGACAGGGAAGGGGCAGCTCTGGGGAGTGGATCGATGAGGAGTGCTCCTAGACCTCTCACTCTGGGGAACCTGCGTCCCCCACAAGAGACAGGAAGAAACTGGTTCCTTTGTTCTTTCCCCATCACACTGCCAGAGAAGAGAGGCTGACTTCAGGATCCACATCACTGCTACCTTTGGGTTTGGAACTCATCACACGGACACGTGGCAGTGGAGCTTGGCGGTGTACCATGCTCTTTCTAGAACCTCAGGGCACTATTTGGCGGGGTGGCGGAGGGTGCATACACTGAGACACTTAGATTCTCCTCTCCACCCTGCATTTCTCCCCAGACTCTGAAACACATTCAAGCCCTTTGTGCGGTGTTCTCCCCAGCTCCCAGCTCCCATTCTGTTGGTTAGGCTGGTAAATGACAGCCCTCTACCCCCTGGGGTCTGAACATTGGGTTGGCAAAGCGGAGGTGTCTATCCATGGTGGTGCCTCGGAAGACTTACCTGTTGGTATCAGTAGGCAGAGTCAGGGGAGGTGACAAAAAGTGGCTGCAGGAGTCACTGACCCCACCTCGCCCCACCCTCACTGTCAGGTGCCCCCAATTTCTAGCTCTTCCACCCCCTTGCTACTGTGCCTGGCCTGGTCCTACCTCCCCACTGACACTTACGTCAGAGCTCAGCTATAAATATGCTCTTAGCATCTTAGTCACTTTTCCCAAGAAGTGCTCCTGAGTTATAAATACCCCAGCCATCTGCCTCACTGCCTGCCCTACCACAAACCTGGTTGGGGGCTGGGGGATAGCGACAGGCTTGGAGGTGGGTAAGGAAGTAGAAGAAGCGGAATGGGAGTGGTTATCTTGCTCAAATGAGAAAAGCCTGCAGGAGTCTAAAGGTAGGAGCTAGGAAGCTCTAGAAGAAAATGTTTGGAAGAAGACAGACCCTCTCTCTCCCTGTTTTACAAAAGGCAGAGCCAAAAAAGAAAGGAAATAATGCTGATCCTGTTTTTATTTAAAAATAGGCTATTTTGTTCATCATGGATTTTTTTTGCATCAATTTTGACTTTAAAAAGTATTGCATTGAAATCTTATCTTGATTAATACATTTTTTACCACCTCCTTAAAATTTATCCCCCACCCCAGGTGAATGATTCACGTTGCCTTACCCCAGTCTTGGCCCTGGGGACTAAGCTGTAATTGGGAAGGAGGTTAGATCTGGGGGTCGGGGGTGTGGGGGTTGGGGGCATATGGGGGAGACACCGGAAGGCCTCCTTAGATGCTCCATGGATGAAGGTCTCCTCAAGTTAAAGGTGCAATAACTTCCATGGGCTGCTCAGGAAGCCCCCATGCTCAGATTTACAGGCCTCCAGGGAGTCCTTTTCAGACTTTCCCCTCCAGGGCTCCTATTTCAGGGACCTCTTAACCTCACAGGAGGGGGTTATAAGCAGAGCAAACACAGACATCACGTTTACCAAAGAACACATGGGTTTTGCGCAAGCTCGGCCTTGGGCTGCAGACAATATCGACCTCGTGGTTCAGGACTGTCCAGCCAAAGGGAGGAGATCTGGGGGAGGAAGGGCAAAGGTCTAAAAATGACCCAGTCTCAGGGCAAATGCTACCCTCTCCTCACACAGGCCTTCCTCTTCTCCCTGTCCCACTCCAGCAGCCCTTGCCTGTTCCAGCATCCAGGCAGGACTCCTGGGTGGAGCACCCGGGGCAGGTGAAAGGAAGGCAAGTCACAGGGTTTGGCAGCCAGCTCTGAGCATGCCTCTGCCTCCCGCACCTGCTTGCCCACAGCTGGTCAATTTACTTGATGCCTGAGCATTGATCTGTCTCATCTTTTGGAGGGATTACAGAGGGAACAGGTAAAACCTAGGTTTTTATTAGTCATGAGACCTAAAGACGGTTCTGGAAGGATGGGGGGGTAGGGGTGGCTAAGAAAGAAGAGGCATAAAGTGTGAGATGGATACAAT